GGTTTCGAAACAAGGATTATAAATATTTAAGATTTGCAAACCGAAATTAAAACATGTAAAACCATCATGCATGTAAAGTTTTGAAAAAACATTAATTTCCATGCATATAACGTGTATATATTTATATAAAATTATACACATATTTTAATGCATAAAATAAGCACGAAAATACCCATTAATGCTCTGATACCAATGTAAAACAAGGATAATGCAGCGGGTAAAAAATTCAAATAATACCTTTAGGTGATAGAACCTGAAGCGAAGAATCTCATGGGTAAATCACGTGCTTTAAGAATGCGAACAACGAACCCAGCAGTGGAGTGATACCACAATATGAGTATCACCCACACAAGTCACAGTGCAAAGGCTGGATCGTTCTCTTCATGGGAGAGAGTTAGAGAGAGAGTCTGGGAAAAAGGTTATGGGTAAAAACCACATAACGTATCTGATATCAATATATTATTTAAATATATAATCAGATATATAACCATATATATCAATCTATCCATATCAGTTGATATGATAGATATTGATATCATGAGTGGTTATCCAAATAAGTTTTGAATTCAAATTCAAACTTACATGGATAAGGTTCAAAAGGTTCATGGGTCATGTCACATGGGCGCCCAATTTCTAACAAGAATAATTTACAAGTTTATTACATGTTGATTGCATTGGGGGGGGGGAATTCATATAACTCTTGCCTATTAAATTTTGAATTTAAGTATTTGGAGTTATAAAAGGTTTTGTAACTTGTCCATTTATGTACATGTTTATTGTGTAAATTAATTTTGGAGTTTTGGTTTATTTGTATAACTTATATAAAATTTTAATTTTACTTAATGTTGCTATTCATTATATATTGCTAAGAGAGTTAAATACAAGTTTTTCCAATTCGTTGCTTCGTATTATGTTGTGGTTTGCTACTAACCTTCTTTATGGGAATACCTAAGCGAGGAAAGAAGTTTTAGACAAATAATTTTCTTATTTTGATTGGTTTACTTTTGTTTATAGTTGAAGCAATTTTTGCTTGAGATTTATTTGGTTTGTTTACCAAGTTGTAAAAGCAAGTTTTATTTGCTTATATTGTTGTAGCAATTTTTTCTATTGCTTGTAATTTGGTTAGCAATTTTAAATTGCTTGGAAGTGTTGAACCTTGGTTTGTTTTAACCTAGTTCTCCCTTGGGAAACTTAATTCTAAAAATTGTTTCTCACAGATTAGGAGTCAACATGCCCTTCAAAGTTTTGTCACAAGGTTAACTGGGTTTTAAGTGGGACCGATCTAACCCCTCTAGTCTTCCTAGGAACATTCTTAACCATGTTCAATTCTAAGTTTATTGGTGAGACTAATTTTGAATTAATTTTTCAACTGTGGAATTTTCTAGTGTTAAGTTTAATTTTTGGAAACACAGAAAGTGATATTCTGGTGTATTTTTCAGAAATGACAACTGTCACTGATGCTGCTGCTACTGCTAATGTTGGTGGGGATCAAAACCTCAGGGCAACTGGCTTGCCAACCCCTATGGCTGTGACCTCTGTGGTCAACCCTGGTGTTACTCCAACTGTTTTGGGAGGACCACTCAGTCACCATGAGTGCCTAGAGAAATTTGCTGGGGTGAACTTTAAGAGATGGCAACAAAAGATGTTGTTCTATTTGACCACACTGAACCTTGCAAAGGTTTTGAGTGAGGATCGTCGAGCTGTGGCAGAGAATGAACCAGACAGGCAGAAGGTCATGACGCTTGAAACATGGAAGCCGACAGACTATCTTTGCCGCGACTATGTATTGAAAGCTTAGCAGACTCACTCTACAATGTGTTTTGTGCCAAGAGCTCAGCAAAAGAGTTATGGGAATCTCTAAACAAGAAATACAGGACTGAGGATGCCAGGGCAAAGAAATTTGTCATTGGGCGGTTCCTGGACTTTAAAATGATAGATTCAAAAACTATAATGAGCTAGGTCCAGGAGTTCCAAGTGATCTTGCAAGAAATTCATACCGAAGGGATGCTTTTGAACGAGTCATTCTAAGTGGTTCTGTGTAACAACCCCGACCTATGATTACCCTTTAATCCATGATTAAATATGTATAAGAAGAATTAAGATGAAATTTGTTAATTTATGTGCATGTGTGTACGACATTATTTTTGTTTCTATGTGTCCATCGTAAAAATATCTGTTTGTCGTTCGGTTCTGTTTTGTGAATTGAAGCCCTTATTGGCATCCGATCGCAAAATTGACTTGACTTATGTGTTAGAATTTTTAGAATTTTATGGTAAGTTCAATTGAAAGTCCATTCGGAACGATTTAATTAGAATAATTTTTGTCTAATTGAGTAATTCGACCAATCGTTTAATTAAACCATTAATTTAGCCTATATAAGGCATTATTGGACCCTCATTCACATTTTACACTCTCATATCTTCATCCTTGATAGCAAAAACGTGAGAGTAAGAGAGGGAGTAGGAAGATTTGACTCTAAGCTTGAGAATTGGGGAGACTTGAAAGGGAATTAGAGGAATTGACTTGTGAGCTCAAACATCAACATATCTAAGCTAAAATTGGACCCCTAAGGTAAGAAATCAAGCCTTTAGTTGTGTAATTGGAGTACTTACCACATGTATTCAAAAGAACTAAGTGAATTGAAACAAGAATTAAGTTGGTTGATGTGGAAAGAAGAAGATGCATGCATGCATGTGCATCACATGACAAATAGAGCATGTTGTCTAATGAATTTGTCCCACGCATGTTTATATTTTAGCCATGGTTTGAGAATTCAACATGTTTTTGATCTAAAGACCTCATTTGATTATGTTTTGGACACTTGAAGCTCAAACCATTTCATGTATGTAGTATTCATGTTATGTTCTTAAAGTCTTTTGGTGGATTTTGAACAATTGACATAATTTTGGGCCTTGATTTCATGGAATGATCTTCAAACCATGTATTTTACAAGTTTCTAAACGTTTTCTGAAAATTTGGCCCAAAAAGATGAGTTTTGAAGGGTGTAATTCGAGTTTGAAGTTAGAGAGTGCAATCTGGAAATTCCAGATTCTGCACTTCCACTCGAGCGTCATAATCTGCGCTCGAGCGACCACCCTGTGATCTTGCACTTCCTCTCGAGTGACAAAAAGTTCGCTCAAGCGAGAAATGTGAGTTCCCAAAAGTTTTCATATTTTATAGACCGCTTGAGCGACAGAAGTTGTGCTCGAGCGGGGACCTCAGTCTTATGCTCGAGCGGCCGTCAAGCGGCCGTCGAGCGAAGATTTCACACAACCAGTACTTTTTTAGAGTTTACAGACCGCTCGATCAAGGGAATCTACGCTCGAGTGGCCCCTCACATGTTTGCATGTCCGCTCGAGCAAAGAAAGTTACACTCGAGTGTGACCCTTATTTTCAGCAAGTTTGGTTAAGAGTCCCAAAGTACATTTTGGCCTTCACATTGCATCCTAGGCATTCCTAGGCCATGTTTAAGGCTCAATAAGAGGCCAAGACTTAGAAAAACACTAAGAATGAAACAAAAGAAGTTAAGTATCAATTGAGTGTGTGTTTCATTATGTATTTCTGCTATGTGTGTGTAGGTCACGTGCCACAAGTTATCTGATTTGTTTGTTCTGCAAGTGGAGCCATCTGTGAGTAATAACTCTGTAAAGTTATGTTTAACTTTAATTATTTTTTGATGCTATGAAATAATCAGTTTTCTGAAATTCAATGTTTTATATGAATGAATGATTGTCCAAATTTCTGAAATGTATTCGTGGCATCCTTAGCACAACACCCTCGCTCGGCGGTAATCATACCATGGTCTACAAGTACATGGCCCCTGCCCGGGGGTAACAATACCGTGCCTTTTTAAGCAAGGCCCTTGCCCGGGGTTAACAATACCGTGGTCTCATGGCCCTTGCCCAAGGGTAACAATACTGTGGCTCAAGTATAATACAAGTTCCCGGTACCGAAGGTTCCTTATGGAACTAACAAGCAAGATAACGCTAATAGATGTAACATGTATGACTAAGCATAAATTCTGATTTTCATATGAAGTTTAAACAATAATATGAATACACATCTATTTTTTATGTGAATTCTGATTTCTGAATCTGTTAGGGACATCGTTCACTTAAACCCTTTACTTTGTTATTATTCATTGGGCTTCAGCTGCGTGGCCAGGCCTAAGCTGTTGCTTGGAGTGTTTTGGGTCAGCCAGCCACTATGCCTCTCGGAGAGGTTCCCTTTGAAGCATTTAGTTTGCTAGTTTGCTACAGATGTTTTTGCTTTGTTTTGTTTATCTGTATATTGGGTTGAGTTCCCTTTTGGCATTATCTGTGTATTGGAGTGACGTAAGACCCATGTAATTATGATGTCACATATATATATACACTAGTTGTTTTAAAATTTTCTGTCTCATATACGTTAACACAGCTCTATGGACATTGTATATTTTCTATATTTGTTTCTGCAGCCCCTTATTATATGTTATTTTGTTAAGAGGCCTTTGATAATCCAAGGATTACTGGCCGGTTACGATGCTAAACCTATAGGGGTGGGTTTGGGTCGTGACAGAGTGGTATCAGAGCATGCGTCTTACCGCGCACACGTGTCCATATGAGCTATAGGATGTCCTAGAAAAGAAGTAGGGACATTCATGTGCATGTGTGAGTGTGTGAGTTGATTACTGTGACAACTGAATCTGAACATGAGTTCAACTTGACCTCACATAAATGAAACAAATGAATTGAAACTAAATATTCTGAACATTATGGAAGGGTTTACTTGCCTATGTTTGTTATTGTTGTGTTTACCTATAGTTAATGGAGAATGCAAGAAGTAATGATACAAGTGAATCCTCAGAGGCTCGCATGAGATGAATGGAACAAATGATTACCGCTCTAACTGAAGCAATAGCACAGCAACAAAGGCAACAACCGATGCCTCCTCCGCCCCTTTCGGTCCAAGTTGAATTGGATAATAATGACATCATCAACCTAAGACAGAAATTCATGAAGATGAAACTGCCAACCTTCTTTAGTGGTATTGAACCGTTGACAGCGGAGACATGGTTACTAGAAATGGAAAAGTTATTTGAAGTGTTTCCTTGTACTGAGACTCAGAAGGTTTTATTGGCCTCCTACACTCTTAAAGATGAAGCTCAAAGATGGTGGCTGTTAGCCTGAAATAGAAATGGGAATATGACCTGGGCTTAATTCAATGAGATCTTTTACAACAAGTACTTTCCCCAATGGTTTAGAGACCGAAAAGTTTCTGAATTCCAAGAATTGAAGCAAGGTAGAATGTTCGTAGCCGAGTATGAGGCTAAGTTTACTGAGTTGGTCAGATTTGCTCCTCATATGGTCGACACAGATTATAAGAAGGCCCAGAAATTTGAAGGGGGCTTAGACCTAGACGTGTATAATGGAATGGGTGTATTGAAATTGCCTACTTATGTAGAAGTGCTTGATAGGGCATTGATGACAGAGGCCATACTAGCAGCCAAGAAACAAGCTATAACTCCAACAACTGAATGAAGAGGTAAAAAGGCCGCATTCAATTTCAAGAAAGGCCGATCATTTCTGAAGAAGCAAAATACTGGATCGTTAAGTAGCTCAAGCCAAAGCAATGGGTCTATGCCAGTTTGTCCAGAATGTGAAAGGAAACATAGGGGCATGTGTCACCGTGCATCTGGTGCTTGTTTTCGATGCGACAAGATAGGCCACATGATTAGAGATTGATCGATGAGACTCAACACGACTACTCATCCTGTGGCCAATCTAGTCGGATCTGCTCCAGCACCAAGAATCAATGCGAAGGCCAATACTGGAGGAGACACTTTGAGACAAGGCCGGGTTTTTGCATTAACACCTGGGGATGTACATAATACTGAGTCAGTGGTGTCAGGTATAATCTCTGTCTGTGCTTAGAATGCCTATGTGCTGGTTGATTCTGGTTTCATATATTCATTTGTATCGCATACTTTTTCTCAGAAATTAACTAGACCATTAGAACCTATGAACTGTTTATTATCTGTGTCTACACCGTCTGGGGGTTCTATGATATGTGCTTATGTCTATCCGGCATGTGATATTATGATTGGTAATATGACATTGTATGATGATTTGTTGTCCCTGAGCATTGATCATTTTGATTGTATTCTGGGTATGGACTAGTTGACTAAATACTACGCCACCATTAATTGTACGAATAAATCTGTTGTGTTTAGACCACCTGCTATGCCTGAGTTTGTTTTTATTGGAAATGGGGTAGTTCCTCCGCCATACTTGATTTCATTTATGAAAGCCAGGAAATTGTTAAGAAAATGTTGTCGGGGTTACTTGTATTGTGTGTTGATTGAGTCTTTGGATAGTGCTAATGTGGAAACGATACCTATAGTCTGTGAATTTCTTGATGTGTTTCCTACTGACCTATCTGGGGAATTAATTGATAGGGAAACTGAGTTCACCATTAATGTAGTACCCGGGACACAACCAATTTCTAAAATCCCATACAGAATGTCTACTTCTGAACTGAAAGAATTAAAAACTCAACTTCATGAACTATTAGACAAGAAGTTTATCCGGCCGAGCACTTCACCTTGGGGTGCTCAAGTGTTATTTGTCAAAAAGAAGACGAGTCTTTGAGGTTATGTATTGACTACCATGAGTTGAACAAAGTAACTGTCAAGAACAAATACCCATTACCCCAAATAGATGGCCTATTTGATCAACTTCAAAGAGCACATGTGTTCTCTAAGATAGACCTTAGATCCAGATATCACCAACTAAAAGTGAAAGCAGAAGACATTGAGAAAACCACTTTTCGAACTAGATACAGATATTATGAATTCTTAGTTATGCCGTTTGGGGTAACTAATGCACCTGCAACATTCATGAACTTAATGAATAGAGTGTTCAAACAATTCCTTAATGAGTTTATTGTTGTGTTCATCGATGATATATTGATTTATTCTAAAAGTAGGGAAGAACATGAAAATCACCTGAGAATTGCTTTACAGATTCCGAGAGAAAAGAAGTTATACGCAAAATTTTCCAAATATGAATTTTGGCTTGACAGTGTGGCATTTTTGGGGCACGTAATCAACAAGGATGGTATCTCCATTGACCAACAGAAAATTGAAGCTATTGTGAACTGGCCTAGACCGACGAATGTAACAGAAGTTCGAAGTTTTCTAAGACTCGCAGGCTATTATCGCAGATTTGTAAAAGATTTTCCAAACTTGCTTTGCCACTCACTCAATTGACACAAAAAGCTACACCATTTGACTGGACTGATCAAAGAGAGATTGCTTTCCAAGAGCTAAAAACCAAGTTAGTAACTGCACCAATTTTGACCTTGCCTAATGGTACTGATGCATTTTAAATTTACAGTGATGCTTCCCACAATGGTTTGGGGTATGTGTTGATGCAAAATGAAAAAGTGATTGCTTATGCTTCTCGACTACTCCGCCCTCATGAAAAGAACTATCCAACCCATGACCTTGAATTAGCCACTGTGATATTTGCTTTAAAAATTTGGTGCCATTATCTGTATAGAGTAACTTGTGAAGTATACATAGATCATAAAAGCTTAAAATATTTCTTCACCCAAAAAGAACTGAACATGAGATAGGGGAGATGGTTAGAATTGATCAAGGACTATGATTTACAAATTTGGTATCATCTAGGGAAGGCAAATACCATTGCATATGCATTAAGCCGAAAATCTATTGGGAATTTGTCATGTTTGCTCACCGATCGGAGAGAGTTATTGTGTGACTTGGAGAAAAATGAAATTGAAATTGTGTTGTGTGAACAAGGCGAGATCTTGGCTGCCATTTCTGCCTAACTGCAATCATTGAAGAAATTAAAGAGAAACAACGTGAAGATGAGTTTCTGAGGAAAATTGTTAATAAGATTGACTCAAACCCAAGACCGGGATTTGTGCTTGACAATGATGTGTTGAAATTTCAGAATCACCTTTGTGTGCCAGATTGTTTTGACTTGAGGAAAAGCATCATGACTAAAGCTCACAATTCGAAATTGGCTATGCATTCGGGAAACACAGAGATGTATCATGACTTGAAACAAAATTTTTGGTGGCCTGGAATGAAGAAGTGTATTGCAGATTTTGTGGCAAGATGTCTACATTGTCAACAAGCTAAAGTTGAACATCAGCGACCCGCTGGTTTGCTATAGCCACTTCCAATACCGGAATGGAAATGGGAGCATATTACCATGGACTTCACTGTGGGATTGCCTCGCTCTTCTCGAGGTATGGATTCTATTTGTGTCATTGTTGATCGTTTAACTAAATCTGCTCACTTTGTACCTATCAAATCTTTGTATAATGCGGATAAGTTGGCTAATTTGTATGTCAATGAGATTGTGAAATTACATGGAGTTCCAGTGTCTATAATATCTGATAGAGATCCTAAGTTTACTTCGAGATACTGGCAAAGTTTGTAACAAACTTTTGGAACTGAGCTGAGATTAAGCAGTGTTTATCACCCACAGACAGATGGCCATTCTGAATGAACCAATCAAACATTGGAGGACAAGTTATAGATGTGTGTGTTAGACTTTCAAGGCAATTGGGAGACTTACCTTCCTCTGGTCGAATTTGTGCATAACAAAAACTATCATTCAAGCATTAGAATGGCTCCTTATAAAGCTTTGTATGGTAAGAAATGTCGTTCTCTAATTTGTTGGGCCGAAGTAGGTGACAGACCTTTGTTGGGACCAGAACTTGTGTAAGAAACAACTGAAAATGTGAAATTGATTTAACAAAGACTGAAAATTGCACAAAGTCACCAAAAGAGTTATGCGGATGTCCGAAGGAGGGATAGGGAATATGAAGTCGAGGATCACGTGTTTATCAAAGTAACTCTGATGAAGGGCCAGAGCGGTTTGGAGTAAGAGGAAAATTGGCATCGAGATATGTTAGACCATGTGAAATCCTTGAGAAGATCAACCCAATAATGTATCGAATAGCCTTACCGCTAGTCATGGAACATATGCATAATGTTTTCCACGTCTCTATGCTTCAGGATTAACTATGAGATCCGTTACATGTCGTTGAACCAACACATGGGCTTTTGAAAGATGATTACATCTATGAGGAGAGGCCAATACAGATTGTTAATCGCCGAATCAAAAGACTAAGGGACAAAGAAATCCCATTGGTGAAGGTTGATTGGCAAAACCATGAAGGGGCCTATGCAACTTGGGAAACAGAGGAAGATATGATGAGGAGATACCTTGAATTGTTTCCTTTGGATTTGATATTCTTCCAAAATGAAGGTAATCCACGTTTGGAGGACCAACTCTTTAAGGGGGGAAGACTGTAACAACCCTGACCAGTGATTAGCCTTTAACCCATGATTAAATATGTTTAAGAAGAATTAAGATGAAATTTGTTAATTTATTTGCATGTGTGTACGACATTATTTGTGTTTCTATCTGTCAATCGTAGAAATATCTGTTTGTTGTTCGGTTCTATTTTGTGAATTGAAGGCCTGATCGGCATCCGATCGCGAAATTGACTTGAATTATGTGTTAGTTAGAATTTTTATAATTTTATGGTAGGTTCAATTGAAAGTTGAATCAGAACGATTTAATTAGAATAATTTTTGTCAAATTGAGTAATTTGACCAACCATTTAATTAAACCATTAATTTAGCCTATATAAGGCATTAATGAACCCTTATTCACATTTTACACTCTCATGTCTTCATCATTGGTAGCAAAAATGTGAGAGTAAGAGAGGGAGTAGGAAGATTTGACTCTAAGCTTGAGAACTGGGGAGACTTGAAAAGGAATTGATTTGTGAGCTCAAACATCAACACATCTAAGCTAAAATTGGACCCCTAAGGTAAGAAATCAAGCCTTTAGTTATGTAATTGGAGTACTTACCACATGTATTCAAAAGAACTTAGTGAATTGAAACAAGAATTAAGTTGGTTGATGTAGAAAGAAGAAGATGCATGCATGCATGTGCATTACATGACAAATAGAGCCTTTAGTTATGTAATTGGAGTACTTACCACATGTATTCAAAAGAACTTAGTGAATTGAAACAAGAATTAAGTTGGTTGATGTAGAAAGAAGAAGATGCATGCATGCATGTGCATTACATGACAAATAGAGCATGTTGTTTAATGAGAGCATGTTGTTTAATGAGAGCATGTTGTCTAATGAATTTGTCCCATGCATGTTCATATTTTAGCCGTGGTTTAAGAATTCAACATGTTTTTGAGGTAAACACCTCATTTGATTATGTTTTGGACACTTGAAGCTCAAACCATTTCATGTATGTCGTATTCATGTTATGTTCTTAATGTCTTTAGGTGGATTTTGAACAATTGACATAATTTTGGGCCTTGATTTCATGAAATGATCTTCAAACCATGGCATTTTACAAGTTTCTAAATGTTTTCTGGAAATTTGGCCCAAAAAGATGAGTTTTGAAGGGTGTAATTTGAGTTTGAAGCTAGGGAGTGCAATTTGGAAATTCCAGATTCTGCACTTCTGCT